GTTGCGAATGACTTATTTCGGTCGGACAAAGCTTCACAACTCCAAACCTCACCGAATCGCCATTTTGGTTGTTGCTACAACTCCAGAGATGCTTCACGGGATATAAACTAGGTTCCAGGCATTCAAAAATCCTCGATTAGCCTACCAGGCTTGGTTTTAAAACAAAATTGTCACGAAAATGTCACGAAAATGTCACGAAAGGTACAGCCGCGTACTGTTTTGTTGCTCTCAGCCGCTCGGCCGAGTATAAACCTAAAATTTTCTTGCAAGGTGTTTCATTCCAGCTTTTTTCTTCGTAAAACAGATCCACAGAGCTCAAATTATTTAAAAAATCGCAGGGGATACGCTTTCCCTGACTACGATCGTTTTTGTCCGCCATTTTGGAAATGAGATTCCGCTGACAATTAATCACGGGCGCGAAATGTCCACTATTTCTGGCAATGGTGTGATACGTACAGACGACTTCAATCGTTCCTGTTTGACGAATTTTTTCCCGGCCTGTAGTAAGCTTAGCTTCACCTCCTTTATATATCAGGACCTACCTAACACGGACAGCCAATAACAGAAAAGAATGCATGTTAAATTTCTAAAGACTCGACGTATCGGGTTTCTTATTATACATAACGGTCGAGTAAGTTTTATATCAATTTAAAAATATATATATGCGGTCGCCCCTGAATGACTACTTTGTAATTAATTTGTACATGACCTTTGAATGCTCAATAACGATCCAACTACCCTTCGAGCAGAGTCGCTTCGATCTGCACTTTTTAGTATCGACTGATCGCTGTGATCGGGTTTCTTATCATGCGTAAAAGTCGAGCATTAATTAGTTTAATATGAATTTAGAACATTATGCGGTCACCACTGAATGACTGCTTTGTAGTTAGTCTGTACTTAACTTTGAATGACAATAACAATCCAAATACCCTGCTGGCAGAGTGGCTTTGACCTGCACATTTTAGTAAAATAAAAGTGTTTAAGTCTTTTTAATATAAGGGCATTGTTAAAAAAAGCAGACGCATCTTTTAAAAATTGACTTGAACATATCGTGGCAATTTTTAGAACGTTTAGCACAACATAAGAAATATTATTGCCCCGATACATTTCACATTTTGTCCATATGAGGATTATATTAAACCAAATGCCCATTGACTATCTAGAACTGAATCTTTTTTTTTTAGCACAATCATTGTTTTGATAAGCTGCGACGCGAAATTTGTTCCTGTCAAGAGTCAGTGATACGTCAGCGAAGACCATAAAATAGCCTTGAGACAGTGATGATTCATCAAGTAGACTTACTCAACGAAAACTTTCATTTCTCGAGGTTTACACTAAAAGGTTAACATACATACTTTTTTGGATCCGAGAGGACTCCAACCATGTTTGGAAAATCGAGCCGTTTCATCGTCATTGTTTTTATCCTTCTTTCAAGCAGTTTTGCTGAAGGCAAACCTAAAAGTTCCGATGTTAAAAAATCAGCGGCGCTTACAGTTCACAAAAAGCCTCAACCGATCGATCAAACATTTAACGCCAACAACTGGGGCCTCGGAAAAGCTGATCGAAAACTGCTAACCGAGATGAAGTACAAAATTGACTACCTGTACCAGAAATCGCCGAGCGCTAAAGGTATAAACTCTTGCAATTTAATCAAACTTTCAGTTAATTAAAAAAGCGACTAATAATTGTTCGAGGCTTATTATTAGAGCGACTCAATGTTTGAGGCTTATTTTAAAATCAACTGGAAAATTTTCTTCCTTTCAGTTTGTCCGCAAGATGGTTGGGTTTACTACGGCAACTTAGGCTACCTCATCATCGACATTCGAACCCTAAAATGGAGCGATGCTCGACGAACATGTCAGATGCTTGGAGGAGACCTCGCTATAATAAAATCAGCTGCTGAGAATAACTTCATTTTAAGCTTGCTCAAGAAACAGAAAACCATCACCGATTTGGGAGTGTGGCTTGGTTTTGTCCGCAAGGCAGACAACAAGTTCTACTGGATTGATGACACTCCACTGGCGAAAGGTTACACGGCTTGGGCAAGCGGAGAACCAAACAATCATCGTGGGAATGAAAAGTGTGGAAACATGTTTGGCTTGGCAAACAGCAGGGGAGGCAAGTGGAACGACTTCCCTTGCGATGTCGATCCGGCAAAGCATTGGAAGTACGCCCCAGTTATCCTTTGCAAGAAAAAGCAAATTAGCTGACTTGCGTCCCAGAAGTCAAATAGAGTAGAGCACTTTGCTGTAATGCCATTTAATAAACTAAATAACACGATATAAGTCAAAACTAACGATTTTGGGCAAGGATGGGGTGCGCACTTCTTGTAATGAGAATTGTTCGTCAAGTGAAGCTGATTTAGATTGAAAATAAATAAATTAAAATCAAAAATAAAATGGCTGTTACACTTAAAAATGTTGTCCACTCTTTGATGATCTTTATTTGCTACTTTTACTAATGGATCGTGTGTCTTTTGGGTGAAGGTAGATAACTATTTCAGCTGGACATAGAGGGATAATAGGGATCTCAGGACTAGAGACACTACGAAAACAAGATTATTTATACGAGTTGCCTACAACAATGCGCCCAGAAAATAAGAAATATATAATATATAAATATATAACATATAAACGAAAAAAAGCTTGTTTGTTTGAACACAAAAATGTTTTGATGGTTTGACCACCTGCCACAATCAAACTTGAGAAAAGAGTAAGTAATGTGTAGGCCAATTGTCCTACAGTTTTTTTTGTATTTCGGAGTAGTTCTCATGGGGGGAGGGGGCAGGGGGCTATTAGACAGGGGGGAGTTTATTAGAGAGTTGCGTCTAATACAATTTTGATAGCGCAGAGGGGGCGTTTATTAGATAAGAGGCGTTTTACGGTACGCACGCTCAGAGATGACCTCTTTACTAGGGTCCATTCACCGAGAGCAGAAACCCATAAGGGGTTGAAACGTGTAACTCTCATATGTTTGCTTGGTCCGATGCTCGTGATTATTCATTTTCGAAAGTACCATATTTGGAACGAGAAGAAGAGATAACTGACCAATCAAACTTCGTAAACAACATGACTTAATTTTACTTCAGGTTCCCGCGCCCGTTTAAAAAAACGGCCGACAAACGGGGCAAAAACTCCCAAAAGCAGAGAAAGCTTTCCAAGGTTGAAACCAGGAATCGTACCGAAACACTGAGCAGAAATATGTTATTGCCTTATCACCCGAGCCAAACGTAACATTATGAAACCCATTGACGTCCTCGCAACTTCTTGAAGTTGTCACTTCAAAAAACGATGCGTCGTTGACCCTCGGCACAGTAAACTTATACTGCGAATAGGTTTTTAAAATTGTTATATTAAAAGTCTAGAATAAACAGTAAATGATATTTTCGAAAAAAATTCATAAGCTGCGTATCGAAGAGTGACCAAAACCTGAACCTGACATCTTCGCAAAGAGATATTCGTGTAATGAATGGGAGAAGCATTTAAGCTTAAATTCAGCTTGGATGTTGTAGTCACGATCGTGTTTTGAGCTAATTTTATGAATGAACAAACTCAAAGCAAAAGACAGAGAAGCCGTTTCTTGAAAGTTTTTATTCAAAATCCAAAAAGTTAAAAAACACATGACAGACTAGAAACAATAGAAAACTCCCAAAGCACAAACTCAGCCAAAACGCTAAAAATCTTCAATGTTTACTCAAGTTTGGGCTTATAGAAGATAATGTCACAGTTTTTCAATGATCATGAAATTCATGTTAAGCAGCAACGATCAGCAAATAGCAAAGGAAGGCATATTGTGAAGCAGTGAGGTATGTTTTGCGGTTACAAGCAAAGTGCAGCCAAGCAGAATCAATAGCATCAAGATTACAAAAAATAATTACTAAATAAAATAACAATTATCCTTATTATCCTGACCTGCCTAGTTTAAGAGCTTTTAAGCTCTGAGGCCTGACCTGAGCTGTCTATGATGTGACCGACAGAATAAATGAAATCGAAAGTCTAAGACATTACAAGAGTTGACGTTTACGTCAATTCATAGCGGACAGTATGAATCTTCAACGGCATTTAGCAATCATCGATTCCGTTTGTGTCGAAACTGCGTGACATTACAAGAAAACGCCATGTTAGGAAAGTTCAATGGTAGCTAATGGTGGAATATCTCAGGGTCATAACTTCACGGAGACGAGGTGCCATTATGGCCACTACAGAAACAACAACAACAACAAAAACAACAACAATGTGCACTGTCACGTTTCCGTGTCCAAGGAAACCAAGAGATGCGTGGTCAAGGCGTGGCAGACCAAATACGTTCAGATTCAAAGCCAACACATTCACATAGGACAGTTGTTTTTATCGACATCAACCTTAACTGAACGACTTCCAAAACATTTTTTTCTTCGCTCAGTGAGTTGGGCATGGTTTTTCATCCTTTTCTGCTGTAACCCAACAAGGCGGCTTTCTTGAAGGAAAGAATTTAGGTGGCGACAAGAGACGAGTTTCAAGACATGATCGAGGAGCTCCTTGCTCTCAATCCCATGGCATTAACTTTGCTTTTACGGGGATGAGAACGAAAATGCAAGGAAGATCAAGCAACATTAAAAGCACCATTCGTTTAGCTGGAGCTAAATCAGTTCCGTATAAGGCATTGCATACTGCCATTACTCGTTGATTTCCCATGACATTCAGCTAAACAAGTATAGTCAAAAACTCCTATGCATGGACACCGACAGTAAAATAATGGTCGCTGCCTTTTTAGGGTCTTTGACTCTATAATAAGACGAAAACCTCTCCAAGACGGACACTTACCAACGGGTCCAAGAAGTCATTTTTGTTGCTTCACGTTGACCGCATGTACCTTATTAGTACTATTTTCGCGTTCTCGTAAGACATCAACAGGGACAGTGGAATTGAAATTCCTTACGCGTGGATGCCTGCAATAAGACAACATGGCAACCGATCTCTACCACAGTGGATCGCTGAGGGATCAGTTTCTTCCTCTCACAATGCCAACAATGCTTTGGATCGAAACCCACCAACCATGAGCGAGGCTTGTGATACACCGATCACCAACAATCACGGTGGTACAAATAGTTCGACTCAGTGAATCAACACTATCGCTTGATAAAGACCTGCAGTGCATGTGCGGTCGAAACAATATCAAAGTGATAAGTGACAAACAGTAAAACTAAACCCTTTATATTTTCGCGTTGTTCGTAATTGTAAAAAAAATCGCGAAATCAAAGACCCGCGAAAATAATTCCTCGCGAAATTTAATACCTACATAGGAAATTCAAATCAAAATTAACTTGTAATAGCACAGCATATACAGGATCATGTATTGACAAATAAGCAAATTGCCAACTGGTTTTACTGGTAAACTCCATTTTGTATCTTCAGTTGTGAAATAGCTTTGGTTTGCAAAGATTACATACATTGCTTGTTCCAGTTTATCAAGAAATTTTTAAAGGGCCAGACTTTTTAAAAAAACAAATGAAATGGAGAACGATTAAATCGCGAAATTTAATGCCCTTTTTCATATGATGATGCAAATGATGTGCAAAATGCTATGGACACGAGTCTTTCGCGCATTTTTGTACATTGATTTCGTTGCGTACAGCGCTGGGTTCAAGCAGTGTTAGGTATGTAGCCGGTCTTTTGCGCAAACATTGCACACCAGATTTGCGACAGCGTTGCGCACAAAGTAAGTTACACCCAACGTTATACAATGTTGCTCAATTATTGGCACTATATTGTTCACTCGTTTGACAATATTGAGCTCAACGTTTCTCCCAGTGCTATACACGTAAAATTTTGCACAAACGTAGTGCACTGTACTTCACATATTTGGCAAAAAACTGTTTTTCAAAATGTTGCACAAAATATTGTGCAAAATTCACAATGCATTACGTTGCACGTGACTTTATACAAACTGTTTATCACAATGTTGTACAGTGTTTGCAAAACGTTAAACACAACGTTGTACAAGCTATTGTCGACAATGTTACCCTCAACCTTGCACACAGTGTTATTTAGTGTCGCACAAATGTTGTATACTATATTGTACATAGTAATGTCCAACCTGTGGTTCACAATGTTGCTCAAAATGTGAGCAGAATTCACAATGCGTTACATTGCACGCAACGTTATACAAACTGTTTTATCACAATGTTGTGCCGTGTTTGCAAAACGTTAAACACAATGTGTTGCAAGCAGTTGTCGACAATGATACGCTCAACCTTGTACGCAGTGTTATCCAGTGTCGCACAAATCATAGTTATGCAAAATGTTGTGCACTGTATTGTATGTAATAGTCTGCAACCTGTGGTTTACAGTGTTGCGCAAAATGTGAGCAAAATTCAAAAATGTGCAGTGTCCTGCAGAGTATTACACGTACAAACTGTTGTTGACAATGCTGCGCTCAACGTGCACACAATGTTAAAAAAATCGCAAAAGTGTTGTGAACAATGTTGAAAACAGTATTCGACAAACTGCTTTTCACTCCGTTGTACAAAAAAAGGGTACAACGTTGTCTCATGTACCATAGCTTCCTCTGCCTAGGTCTTCTAAGTAAATGGACTGTCTAACTGACTACAATTTTTTACGATTTGTCCTCTAAACTATACAGTCATATTGTCACATGAGTATACACCCGCTTTCACTCACAACGGCAAGTTGTCCAAAAAATATATACTTACTCTCCCAAAGAATTGCAAGGATGAAATATCTGGATCAGCTGAACTGCGATTCCATTGGATAATTTATCGGTAAAACTCATGGCTCCATACACAAAGGCACCTGTTTCCTGTCAA